GTTGTCCATTGGATTTCGAGTTGATGCTTTTCGTTCCTGGTGTTTGAGTAGTGTTAGTCCCAAAATATCCGTGTTTATATGACCCGGCAAAGCGAAGTACACTCGTCCTGAGATTTAGAACTGTCTGTCAAGCGTGTCCCAATGTTTACACTACAGTCACTTTCAAGGCTAGTGTAACATAACTTCTCGCCGATGAAGCATGACGTCTCAGAGTGTTACCAGGGCCACACATCAGGTGTGTTATTTACAGTGTTGTCAAATTTTGGGAAGTCGAAAAGAAAGATCTTACAATTCCTCTAAGCTGGCCGTGGAGGCCGATAGGGTTGTGAGACGTCGGAGTTCATTTATTTTCTAGACAATAGGCTCACAGATGGCGCCAGGCCACTTTTTGTCTCCAGGAAGATTCATTGGTACTCATTTCTGTTAGAGGCTGAGTCGACCCCAGGACCATAGTGCGGTTGGAACTTTCAGAGCAATTGAAAAATCCAGTGACATTGTCGGGAATCGAATCCGCGACGTTCCAACTTGTAGCATAGTGCCTCAACCAACTACGCTACCGCGTGGTCCCCCCCCCCATGAGGGAATTGGCGTTTAAATATTCCAGGCGGATTAAAGTGGCTGAGCATCGTATCTGTTAGCGTCGTGGTTTAGCATTTCCGTTATTGGACGAGTTCAATTACTGGAATTGGTCCCAGGCTATGGAACTCTCTTATGAGAATGTAATGCGGATTGGATTAGCACGGAATCACATGCAACTGCCAGCTTTTGCATTAGCGGCATTGAATCTTTTGGGCTGTATTCCTGGAGAGCTGATTTAGTGAAATTAGGGCGTGTGAATTCAAGTGGATTTACCTGGCTTAATATCTATTGCTTGTAATATCGAGCTGTGTTATAATGATGTACACTTCTTCAGGATCTGCTACCAGAGGGTGTAGGTGAATTGGCTCGACGCTTATCTTCATTTGTGAATCAGCAGAGGATTATAGAACCATTTTTTGCCTGTTGAATCACAGTGAACACATTGCAAATGCCTATGTTTGGACGTGTCCTCTGTGACAGACTATTTGCGAAATTGGCGTGATATGTGTAATGCTGCTACGAAAGGGCGCAGGTTCGCACATCATCAAGAGCTGAGGATATTCAAGGAAAACTGCGGAACTGGCGCATACAACGGTCGAACCCGACACCGGAAGCGAAGACACGATGGCGGGGAACCAGATAGCACAGGTTGGTTTCCCTGTTCTGTGTTTCTAAATGTAGTAGTTTCCGTAGCGTTCTCGAAAAGGCTAAGCGTTTTGTAATATCTGCACTATAGCGAGGGTGCGGAAAGATGTCCCGTGGATGGTGGGGATGAATGAAAGTTGCTCGATGCAGATAAATTTGCCGTTATCTGCGCAAGAAGAAAAGTCTGCTCTGTGGACTTGAGGGCGGGGGGAGGCAACTAAGAGCAGATTGGGACATATCCATCACACTTGTCACATCATGCGCATAACCTCCTCGTGTCAGTCTCCCAGGAGATGGCAGCGGAGTCAGTGCTGCCAGATCAGCAAGGCGCGCACGCATCTAGGCTGTGATAGGTAATAAGAGGAGGGTGGTTATGTGGCAACCGTGGAGATGTGAGAGTGGGAACTGCTCAGTTTTCGTGTTCTACGTCATGGCATATTTATTAGCGCAGACTGCACCTTCTGTTGCTTTCCCCTCTGGCCAATGTCAACCAACCCAGAGCGCCCGTCTCTGCCAACAGAATTGTAAGGCTGCTGTAGGGGGAAGCAGAACAGTCTCGAGGGAGCTGTGGTAGGGGTAGATTACGTAGGAATTACTTTCGTGGTCTGATTGTGGTACTTAGATAGTCACCATGTATACATATAGTTAGTTAGTTATTTAGAGAGGGTGGGTTTCCCCATGCACCGTGACCAGTTTGTTCTATTGTGCTTCCCTCTATGATATTCTACCAGTCTCTTTACCCTACCGATAAATGGTGCGTACCATCAGTCCCGCCGAGCAGCGAGTTCGGCCACTTGCTTAGCGTGTCTGTAATGCTTCCCCCATCTGTCAGAGGCCTTAGAGGCTATTGTTGGGCGGGAAACATCCTGGAATTTGGCTCATTGAACCCCTTTGGGGATATGAGGTTCTTTTACGTGCCGTAAAGTTACGACACGGGACACACGGCTTAAAGTCCCTCCCGGAGGACTTGTTCCCTGAATTTTTCCGCCCTTAAAAATTCGACGACCTCCGCCGGGTATTTGAACCCGCGTACCACGAATCATGAGGTGGAAACGTTACCTCTAGACTACGGAGGCCGCTTATGTACATATGTATGTATAAAGTCCTTCAGTTCATTCCAATCTGACAATGGAATTTGAAGAACCCTGGTATTTCTTTTTCGTAATTCGAGTTTTCCATTCTCACAGACAAATGATATAAGCGTTTGGTATCTCACAAGAGAGTAAAATATTACTGATGCATCATTTATGGTAAGGTAAAAAAATATGAAGTTGTCCCTGTGCTTAGTTAATAAGCACTACGCCGTGAAGACATATGGGGGAGTGCAGGTATTGGCATTAGATGGAGATGAGTCGTCAGCTTCCTGCTCGGGCCGCTTTAGCCCCGGTACCCATTGGATGGGAGGCTGGGTGGACGCTGGATTCGGCCTGGACGTTGTGGAGAAGAGAAAAATGTTGCCCTTGCTGGGAATCTAACCCGTAGCCCTTCTCTATACCGACTGCGCCATCCTGGCTCTACCGTGATAATACGTCTTGGTATTAAACCTGGTAGATTTTAGTGTCAAGGAGCTTCAGTTTATGAAATGGACGTGCTACAGCTGACGGACAGTTTGGCAAAGCATAGCGTATGCCGAGGAATCGACTATTACAATTTTCCGTAATACTGGGGAACGGTCGGTCTGACTTCTTAGGACATAAAGCTGTTTACGTGAATTGCAGTGCCCGTTAACTCAGCCATTGTAAAGTAAACTTCAGCTTATTATAGATACCCGTCTTCTGGGTTCATAAAAGCGTGTAATCTGGTGGGTATAACCGAAGTCTCCGAAGAGCCTTTTTGCCTCCAACTCCAAGACACAAGTTCTACCATGAATATTGGCGAAACAGGTTCCGCCGATACGATTGTAACCACATACCAGACTGAACGATGCCATAAGCCAGAAGACTACAATATAAAAATCTTCGCCGTGAAAACATGTCATAACACCTCAGTAGAACATCAGACACACAGATGACAGAATCTTCCGCAATTTTTGCTCCATAGTCCCGCAGGATAAGTGTTTGTGAATAGCTCAGTCGGGATAGGGACGGGCTGGACGGCCGGGGTTCGATTTCTGGCAGGGGAAAGCTATTTTTCTCTTCTCCACAGCGTTCAGACTGGTTCTGAGGCATACCCAGCCTCCTATACAATGAGTACATGGGTTAAAGCAGCCTGAGCGTGAAGCTGAACGAGTATATCTAGTTCCGAGGTCAAGAATGGTGGAGATATACATCCACTCCCTCATACTACTCACTTTACCTTTATCAGGCTGCAGTCTCAGCAGGCCGTTGCCAGGCGAAGCAACCATTGTTTGTTCCTTGTAATCGATTCGTGTTGGTACCCATGATGTGCCATGGTTTCACAACGTTCTTTCGGTTTTCACATTTGCTTAGCAAAGATGTGTTGCAGCAAGTGGTGCCACCTTTGCTTCATATGGCAGTATAAAATTCTCTCCACGTATCATATATAACAGCACTTTCGCTATTGCATTCGATTTCGTATGTTGAGAACTGACTGATTTCCATACGTCCGAGCAAGTTCGTCTGGACACTTGTTTTCGAGATGTGCTGGGTTCGAATCTCGCCCGAAACACCGGTTATCGCGATTAAGATAAGTCGTGGGTTTTCTCAGACCCTCCAGCAAATGTCAGGATAGTGCCTCGATTAAATCACCTCTGTTTCCTCTCAGTTCCTTTCCAACTTATCATTTATCAGTCGTCTTGCCAACCGACGCTATGTAGTCATGCAGAAAGCGTCGTTAAATAACCACATACAAATAAAAACAGTGCTTTCGTCTCTTGCCAGGCTTTGAAATCTTAATAGCGTGAGTAACCTTAGTGGCAGTGAGCGAGTGGATGCTGTTTTGCAAGATAGGCTCAGGTTGTTGGCCCTGTAAGGAATTTCCGCCACGCAGAATGGTTTAAATGGTAACTTCCATACAGGTAACATGCATGCTGCAAGAATTAATAATGTAGACTCATTGCCAAGTGACAGCTGTGTAAACAGGTGACAGTACAACAGCCATTGCTAGGGAACAACTCTGTGAACACGTTTCCCTGGCGATGGAAGAGACATTTTCTGTAAGCTCAGAGTCGCGAGAAGCTGGTAGATGAGGCGGGGCCAGTTCAGGAACTCAAAGGAAGGGGAATGTCCGCCTTTGAAGGCCTATACCAAGCAACGGCTAGTTAAAACTGAAAAGACTATGTGTACTGTAGTTACAGTGATATTTGGAGTTTGTAACTCAGTGTTACTGTAGTAGTTATTTTATGATTCCAATAAATCCAGTTACCAGTCCATACTGCGTCTATTGTCACTCGCTTGATAACAATATGTGACTTGTTTTTAATATTTATACACAACCGCAACCGATGTAAAACGCTTTTGAAGAAAATGTATGACTATATCCACCGGTGTGTGAAGCACCGCTGTTCCCTGTAACCCGCAGTTTCCATGTTTCCCTACCAATATATCTTTCCAGCGCAGAGAGTTGCAAAGCGGAGCCTGTATAATGTTACCGTGAAGTCAGAAGTGTCAGTTTACGTTGATTCATATGTTAGCGTGAAACCAGAACATTTCACGCCACTCTGGCCAGGAAGTAGTTGGAACGTATCAAGATGGAGTGCACACACACACGAGAATCACGGAGGTGAGCTTGTGTCTTCAGTGTTTATCACCAGAAACAGTTCCTGCGGAGTCCCAGCATATATAGATCTTTTGATTGGCTTCTGAGATCGCTTCTGTGGTCTAGTGGTCAGAATCCCTGCCTACAGATCCAGAGGTCCTGGTTCGATTCCCGGCGCTACTAGATTTTCTGAGAAGTAGTGGGTCTGGAACGGGGTCCACTCAGCCTCAAGGAAATAGCGGCTCCGATCTAGAAAACCGAGATTAACGGCCGTGGGGATCCGTTGCGCTGACCACGTAACACACTCAATCCGCAAAAGTTGGCACTAACTTCGCCGACAAGCGGCGGTCGCTCGGTCGGTATAGTTCGATTGCGGACTACAGGCCACGGAATGCCTTTGTTTGATTGCCTTCTATCCCTGTATGCCATATCCAGGACACTGAGATGGGCCGGACATGTAACAGCCACGGCGGAGATTATACGCTTCAAAATTTAAGTCAGAAAACCCCAAAGAGAAGAAACGACGTAAGGTGCCTAGGCAAAAATGAAAAGATAATATTAAAGCGAAGAATATTTATCTTCAGGGTGATAATGGCATGTAGTCTGGTAGATGTTTTCCGTATACAGGACTACACGGCGTCACAGAAGACTATTATTCGTAGTCACTGCCGCAAACCCTTCAGGTCTCGCAGTGGTTTTATGTTATGTTTAATGATGATTTCAGTAGCGTTCAGCAGAGGGACAGATGAATTATGAATTCGGAAGGATTAGAAAGAAGCAAGCGGCCATGACCTGAAGGGACGCAGGAAGAACCATGAACATCTCATGTCCGGTGTCCAGCCGAGATTCTAACGGAGCATCTGCTGAATACGCCAGCCAACTCAATCTGACAGTGTTACAGTGGATCTTATTATACTTACTCATGGAGCTGAGCCCTTCTGGAGGAGCCGCTAATTCTGCAGCTACTCAAGAATTTCCCAGCATTTTATGGAACCCGAAGGTTCATTACCGTGTTCACAAGACCACTCCACTGGTCCCTATCCTGAGCCAGATCAATCCAATCCATACCATCCCATCCTGTCTCTCTAAGATCCATTTTCTTTAGCTTAGGTCGTTTATCCAAGGAATCCGTCAAGGTCCGAGGCTGTGTGTTCAATTTCGTAACATACTTAGTTTTTTTACGGTGATGAATTGTTAGCCCCACGCCCAACCCCAAATCTGGAGGACTACCTCTTGTCGGCTGTCCGCGACTGCTTATTCAATATATTCACAGCTTCTCTCCAAAACTGGAGGCCGTCTCCTGCATCCGCAACCTGAGGACGCGCGCCATGCCGTGGTGACAGGGA